AGTGAACGTGACCCACTTTTCACTTTTCCCAGGATACAAGACCCTTCTGAAAGGCATTTCTGGGAAATTCAACAGTGGAGAGCTGGTGGCTATCATGGGTCCTTCCGGGGCGGGGAAGTCCACGCTCATGAACATCCTGGCCGGATACAGGTAAGCACGCTCCTCGGAGAACGAGAGTGAGCAAGGCCCTCACCCAGCTGTCAGCCGGGGGCCAGCGGTATGAAGGTCCACCCGTCACTTCTTAAAGCGCCGGGCAGGCTCCAGGGAGGCCCGAGGGGGTCTCGCATTAAGAGGCTTTGGCCCCTGGGAAGGGAACAGAGCTCCAGGCGTTGGGGGCATCAGGAGGCCGTATCCGCTCGTTGCCGTGGTGAGCGGATGCTGCACTCAGGGGAGGTGGTCTGGGGGCAGCATGGCCAGAGGCAGACTGCCTGAGCTCAGCCCCAGCCCGGCCTCGGGGCACAGGAAGCGGTGGAGAGGTCTTGGATGGGGCGGGGGCGGCAGGAGAGCCTGAGACGCCTGAATGAAGGTCAAAGGTGAGACAGGAATCTTCAGGGGAGAAGGGGAGCCATCAGGCGGGGGCACAGACCTCACGTGGAGGCTCCTGCTTGGGCCACGTTAGTGGCTCCAGTGTTTGGAAACCACAGCCCCCGACGTCCTGTCCAGTGCCGCTCACGTAATGATTAGAAAACGGAATCTTTCAAAGCGTTTACAAAGCGCTCTCTTAAAGCCAGTTCTCTTCAGCCCTTATGACTGCCATTTGCCAACTTTAGCAAATAGGTTTTAAAAATAATTTCATTTGTTGGCAAAAAGAGACAAACCCCACTCCCCTTTGAACTTCTGAATTACTCCTTCGTGCTGGGAATCGGGATTTTTGAGAATCTCTCTTACGGCAGATCCCTGCCTGCTGCGTTCACATCTAACGGTTAAGCCCACTTCCCAACACCCAGCATCCCACGGGAGACCCGGGAGAGCGCAGGAGCTTCTGCTCTGTGGGAGCAGCCGTCTCTCAGCTCACCCCGCACCCGCAGGTCCTGCCCGTTACCTCCGAGAGCCACGGACGGCAACCTTGTACGACTGGGCTCCGAGCCCGGCTCCCTGAGAAGGTGGTTGGTCCCAGCCCATGCCCCGGAGGAACGAAGGGACCCACCACAGGGCCCACAGTCACAGTCACCGGATGCGGCCTCACGGTCTCCGTAGACCCGCTGTGCCTGTTCTCTGGGGCACTGAGGAGGCAGGGCTGGACAAAGTGTGCTCTCAGCCCCCACTGCCTCCTGGGCTGAGGTGCTGCACCCAGAGCGCATGGGCTCGGGGGTGCCCAGTGGGTCTGTGAGTGAGGCTGCAAGTGTGGCCGGCGGGGCCGGGCCCCTCCGCTTGCACAGGATGCCTGGGGTGCCCTGCCTCCACCGTGGTCAGAGAGGACAGCTTCCCATCCGCGTGGCCGAGGGGGTCCAGGGCCCAGACCTCCTCCTTTTTAAGCCGGCTGAGCCCAGGGAGGCTGCCGTGGTCCCTCCCAGTCAGCTACTGAGCCACGCCGCCCCCAGGCACCGGTTCTGACGTAGCGGCTGCACTGGCCTGGCCTCTGGGGCAGCTGGGGCAGCCTCGGCCGCGCAGGATTGGTCAGGAGGCCCTTTTGTGAACCCCTGCAAAGCTGGGGGGGTGGACAGTGGACCTCATGGCTTCACGTGGGAGCATCCATGCGAACGAACCCCCCCCCACGCTGGGCGTTTTCCTGCGATTCCCTCCTCCGAGCGCTGGTGCTGCTTCGGGCCTGCCCGGCCCTCGGTGTCTCTGCTGGTGCAGGGGAAGGTGCTGGGGCGGGGGGAGCGGCCTCTGTCCCCTCCCCAGGCCCTGGAGGAGGACATGCAGGAGCAGTCGGGCCGACCTGTCCCCTTGCTGGCCTTGCAGGGAGACTGGCATGAAGGGCGCGGTCCTCATCAACGGCCTGCCGCGGGACCTGCGCTGCTTCCGGAAGGTGTCCTGCTACATCATGCAGGACGACATGCTGCTGCCGCACCTGACCGTGCAGGAGGCCATGATGGTGAGCCCCGGGCCAGAGCCCCGCTCCGGCCTCCCCGCTCCCCTTGCTGGAGCAGTGCCCGGCGTGGGCTCCTCCAGGCCGCCTGCGTGTAGCCAGCGCCCCTCCCTCGCGCGATGACCCCAGGCGTGCTGTTCGGACAGCTTCGTCCAAAGCACACCCCCAAGGCCCTGGGTTCTAGAGACCCTGGACGGCTAAACTGAGGTCAGGTTTCTGAGAAGGTTGCTAACCTGACTGACGTGAGTCCACCTCCAGGGTAACCACAGTCCTCACCCCAAGGGCCGAGGGTCTTTCCTTCTCATCAGTGTTCTGTGGCTTTGGGCCCAAGTTCTGGGCCATGTGGTCTCGTCCTCTCACTCACCAGCCTGCCAGGTGGGGCTGAGACCAGTGTTTGCTGCACACTCACTGGGTCCCAGGCCCCTACACACACAGCCCTGCAGTCAGCAAACATGTAATCCTGCAAAAGCACACGAGAAAGGGCGCCTCTGAGAGGTTAGCGGTTAGCCTGGGTGTCCTGTACAGCGGGGTCCAGGCTGGCCCTGCCTGGCGTGCTCTCCGGAAAGGCCGCGACCTGGCCAAGTGCCGGGTGGACAAGGACCACACTGACCCCGTGTGGGCCAGGAGAGCCGCTAGAGAGCCCCCGAGCCCAGTGGGCAGTCCTTACCCATCACGGAGCGTGTGTCCCTGGGGCGGCCTGCCCCCTGCTGTCTGCTGGTCCCTGGCACAAGACCGGCCTCCGGGCCTCTCCTGGCAAAGGGGGTCTCCCCTGCCGGTCTGCCTCGTTCCCGGGCAGTAGACAGGCCTTCACCTTGGGTTTCCGCCAGGAGGGGTCTCGCCCTGCACTCCTCACTCGGGCAGGACAAGGCTTTCTCTCTGCAAGGTCGCAGGGTGGCGGCTGCCCAGGGTTTCATCCAAATTCCACGGGATCCTTAGCTCAGCAGAGAGAAGCAGGAAAGATATGTGATCTGCTCTGCAACCTACTTTTTGGGGAAACAGAACGGCCCCAGGCGTGTTCTTCCGCGCCCACCGTGGTCCTGTGTGCTCTGTGTGGGGAGACCTCTCCATGAGTACTGGGTGGCCCCCACGTGCAGTTTCTCTCATCTCCAGGCAGGTGCAGGGAACTCATGAGGAGCTTGAAAGTAGGATGTGAAGTTAGGAAACACAGGTTTATTGCTACCCTGTTGATTCCTGAATCGCTCCTTCACCGCCAGCTGGGGTGACCAGAGCTTCGCTGAGAAGAGGTATTGAACTAAATACCTGGTGACTTGTTAGAGAAACGCCTCTTTGATTTCCAACACAGTCACCGCTTTCTTTTGCTAGATTGGTGACTCCACTGTCACCTCTATCCTCCCCCCCCGACCTGTCACCAGGCTCTGCTGTGGAATCCATTTATTTTCCAGAATTTGATTTTGATTTCAAGAGTTTCACGATACCTTGAGAAATACCGGTAACCTGAGGAAATCGTACCTTTTGCCCCTTGTGGCCTGTCACATGCGTAGGGACGATGTTGGCCACCAGCCACTGGTCATGCATTTTCACTTGCTGCCTCTGACCCTCAAGCAGGTCGAGACAGGACACTCGGGGTCTCGCAGCTGGCAGCTGGCCCTGTCTGACTCTGGGACCCCTTGGCCCCTCTCTGTCCCTTGCATCTCAGTCTCTTGTGGAGCCTCAGGGCAACCTCACTGGCTCCCCGACTGGGCAGGTTCTAAGCTCACCTTAGATGTGTGGATGGGGAAACCCAGGTCCTGGTTTCCCAAGGTCACAGGACTTGGCAGAGCAGAACCAAGACTGATGCTGGGCGTGGTGATGGCCACTCAGGTTTCCCTGCATGGGGTCAGGGGCCCAGTGTGTGCCGGCAAGAGGGATCTCACAAAACAAAACAACAGCACTGGAGTCCTCGTATGTCCACTTGCCTGTTTCTGTGGTGCAAATACCCCCACTAGGGATAACTTTGAGCTCTCAGTGGTTTAACAGGTGGCTCGTGAGATTTCTAAATGTTCACTGGTGGTCTTCAAGCCCCCGACGCCAGGGGGCTCCTTATCTCTCAGCTGTCCACATCTGAGCTCGCTCGAGCACAGCAGAGAAATCTGCAGACATGATAGGACGCACCCCAGACGTCGCTGCCTCCGGGGCCCACCAGGGAGACGGGAAGCCCGGCCCTGGGAGGACTTCCTCCGTCATCTGGCAGCTCAGCCCCTAGGGCTCCGGGCTCGCGGTGCGCAAAGCGAGTCTGCTGCGCCACTGGCCCTCTGTCCTGACTCCACGCTGCTGCCCTTGCCCCCTGCAGGTGTCCGCACATCTGAAGCTCCAGGAGAAGGACGAAGGCAGAAGGGAGATGGTGAGTGCATTTGGGCCACAAGTGGTCCAGAACGGCACGAAATCCATGCTGCACACGGGCGTGGAGGGGCCTTTTTGCGCCGGTTTGGTCTGTGGTTCGGCGCCCGGCTGTCTGCGTTCAGGGGACGGCGGCATCTCAGTGTGCCCTCGGGGTTGGCAGCCAGCGCCTGGGGTGACCACGCTGCCTCAAGAGACCCAGGGGATGCCCAGCCTCAGGGTCAGACCCAGCGCTCTGCCTCGCTCAGTGTTCAACACGCTTTATACGCCATTGTTCTTTATAAAAAGCTCACAATGAAGATGGTTAGTCATTCATTTAAAAATAGCAAGCCTCCTCCCACACACACTTGCGAGGAGGAATTTGCTTCTCACGTGCTACTAACCAGCGTTTTAAACATCACGTAAACGAAGCCCTTCTAATCCCTCTCGTTGCTTTTTTGCTTCCCGAAACCCCAGGGGGCAAGAGGGTGTCGGGCAAGCAGAGCCAGCGGGGAGCTCCACAAAGCCTGCGCAGCCCGGCCTATGCTTGCGCGCCGTCTAAGGGAAACTCAGCCTCCCTCCTCTCCATGCTGCGGGATCTCCAGCGTACGGATAGAATTGGGCGGATTTCCACTCCTATGACATCGTCTTGTCTCCCAACACCCCACAGGACCAGGTCCAGCAGCGGGAAGAGTCGGATCATGGGTTGGTGCCAGGGGTGCAAACTGGCTCTCCATCTCAAAGTAAAATGGAATGAAGAGGAAACAGTCAAACACACGGAGGAAATGCTGATAGCCCCTCTGTTTACCACCTTTGTTCCCTCTTGTCGCGCAGCTGATATCACGTGATGTAAGCCACTCTGGAGCGCTGGGCACCTTTGAGGCCACCCCCTCCTTCGCTGTGCCTCCTCGCCCCACCCGGCTCTTCAGAACCCTCAGGATTCAGCCTGGGAGTCGGGGGCAAGGGAGCGGGATGGGGTAACCACAAAGCCGGGGTAGGAGACCCCGATTTCTGTGAAAAGGAAAACTCCGCCTTGCTGCTGCGAAGACATTTCACGTGGGCTCTTTGATTCTGCAGCTGAAAGGAATAAAACTGATCAATGGAACCCCAGAGATGTGGGCAGTGACGTGGGTGTCTCCGTCCCCTGTGAAAGCGGGGGCCTGGGCTGTGACTCAGTTGTGCAGGCTGAAAGCAGAGGGCCCTCCAGGATGGCGAATCTGTTCTGAACAGTGAACCCAGACACGCTGCGGGGTGGGCATCCCTCGGGGTGCGGGAAACCCCGTGTGGCCGGGGACGACCGGTTTACACCTACCATGGGGGTGAGTGGACAAGGGAGGGCGGAGGGTCTTGCTGGCAGAGAGAGAGCCCTGTAATGGAGCAGAATTAAGCCCACAAGGGGCCCTCTTCAGGCCTGGACCTGCTGGACAAACTTGGGCCCTGGCCTCCAGCGCCCCGGGCTTCCATCTGTAACGGGGGTGGAAGGCCAGGCCCCTACCTGCTCCCCGGGCGGCATGAAGCTGAATTATCTGATGTCTTTACGTCTGAGCTCCACGGAGCAGGTGTGATGCGTGAGTAAGTGGGCCACGGGATGGCTTCCCTGCAGCGTGGCCCGCAGGGTCCAGCCTCTCCACGTGGGAAGGGGAGCGGGGAAGGGCTTTAGCTGAAGGCCGGGAGTGTGTGCTTACATCTCAGCGGACCCCACTGACGAGCACTGACAGCCCCCTGCGCCGGCTTTGTCTGTTAAGTCATGGCCTTCAGAGGCCAGCTTCTGGCCCCCATCTGGTATCTGGTGCAAGTCTTAGGGGAGGGTCCCGGAACCCCCTCTGCTGCTCGCACAGAAGGCGCAGGCGCAGGCGCAGGATAGCCCTCTTGGCAGAGAACGGCGGTGTCTCTGGGGAGGGCCCGCCAGGTACTTGTCCTCCACGTGTCTGGTGAAGACTCCGACGGGAAGAGGACCTCGTGCTGTTCTCAGCTGGGTTCACAAGAGCATCTCATTGGGATGGGTCTTCTCTGCTGCCGTGTGGCTGAGCCGTCCCAGGGAGTGGGAGACCGCCTCTCTGCAGACTGATCTGCTTCTGGGTTGAATGAGGCAAAGAGCATCCCTGCAGAGTGCACAGGTGCCCGTGGTCCTGCACACGCTCCTCACAGGACACCCACAGCTCGGCGAGGCCAGCCCATCCTCCTGGTCCCCGCCCGAACCCACGGCAGGACTGTGTGATTGTTCCCAGGAGAGGACAGCGGCCGAGGGCACGTCCTGACTCACTTCTCTCAGCCACAGCGTGTACCTAGGTTCTGGCTGTTTACACCTCAAGGAGACACAATAGGACGGAATGTTCCAGCAGGTAGTGGAATATTGCCACAGCTTTTCTCATTTCCCAGAAAAGGAGCCTCAGCCCTCCAGAGCCCCCAGCGAGGGGGCTTTCTCAGGAACGAGGCTTCCCAGGGCCAGGACACTGTCCTTTCTGTTTAGTTTTAAAACAAAACCAGTCTGTGGAGCGTCACTTTGGAGAGAACCCTGGATGAGAGGCCTGCACGGAGCAGATAGGAGACCTTGACTCTGGCCTCAGCCTCCAGGTCCTCTCGGTGGGGCTGAGGGCAGGTGGGGGTGAAGACCGGCTCGGCCACAAGGAAGGGGCCCTGAGGTCAGAGAGGTGGAGGGGAAGGGGCGTGTGCCCTGGCTGTGAGCCCCCAGAGCGAGCCTGGAATGACCAGAGGGAGTCTTTGTCCTGTGCCTTCAGCCTGGGTCCCCGGAGGCCCCTGGAGCCGCGTCGTCCTGGGAAGGCCAACGGATGCCGTCTGCACCAGGCAAAGTGTGCGGAAACATGGCCTTTTCCCGGTGACCTCGCTGACCCCCCTTCGGGTTGGTGTCCCTCAGAGACGGTGCATTCTAGAAGCAGCTGTGGAGCTGGGTTTGGGGGTCAGCAAGGGAGAGGCAGACTGGGATTCGAACCTGAGTCTGCTCCGCCCGTGAAGCAGCAGGGCCCTGGCTCTTCCTGTCACCAAAGTCACATTCTGCCCTGACCCTGCACGAGTGATTTAAGAGCCACAGTGGAAATTTTCTTCCTTGTGATTTTCTTCTCCTTTGGGATGGGATGACCTCATCTCCCCAGAGAAACCGCTGGGCTGGGGCCCGCCCGCTGCTGCCACCAGGCGCCGAGATGATGGCCGAGTGAATTCCGGCAGGACCTCCCAGGCGGGCTGCGCCCGGGAGGTGAACCTGGCGTGGAGGCAGGAGGGGTGGCGGCTGACCTCCGCCTTCCTGCCGCTGCCTTCAGGAAGGCGCCCGGATGGACTCTGGACACGGAACACGGCAGCCGAAACCAGCGCCACGGCCTGCCCTGAAGCCTGCTGGCCTTCCTGCTCCCGCGGCAGTGCCGGGTCGACGGGCTCCGCGCACAGGGGCTGTTTATGTCTCCGTGGCCAGCCTGCTCCCAGGCATCAGCAGGGCCGCTGAGGGCGGTGGTGACTCCTCTGAGCAGTCTCACTGTCTTGGCTGCCACATCAGAGACCTTCTCGTCCCATTTACAAGTGCAAGAGGGGCTTCCGTCCTTCTTTCTGAGATACCTGGCCAGTGTGGCTGTGTCTCCAGGAGCTGTGTGTCACGAAGAGCTGCTGTCGAGTGAATGCTTACTGCGTGCTGAGCGCTTTACCCATTATCTCATTAAAGCATCTGGGTGGCCCCCCGCTTTGTGCTGGTCAGAAACGGATCACCCGTCCGGCTGCGTATCCACCGATCGGCCCACTCTGCTCTGTTTATACAGCACCTTCCCCGCCCTGGGCCCCGAGCGGGGCTTACAGGTGAAGGCCTGGCTCCTGCACTGCCTCTCAGCCTCCTGGGCCCAAATCAGGACCTTGGGCTGGGAAACGCGTCTGCCCACCTGGCAACGGGCGGCCGGGGCGGGTGGAGGGTGCGATCTGCACATCTGTCCATGTGTGTCTGCGGGTGGGATGGGGAGGCGGCTGATGGTTCCATGCGGACCCTGTAGGGGGTGAGGTGTGGCCGGTGGTCCCTAACGCCCCTCTGGCTCCACTCTCCCCTCCCCAGGTCAGGGAGATCCTGATGGCCCTGGGCCTGCTGTCTTGCGCCAACACGCGGACGGGAAGCCTCTCGGGCGGCCAGCGGAAGCGCTTGGCCATCGCGCTGGAGCTGGTCAACAACCCGCCGGTCATGTTCTTCGACGAGCCCACCAGGTAGACGGAGCAGCGGGGGCAGGGCCCCTGCGCCCCCCTCCCCCCGCCCAGCACTTTTCCCAGAGTCCCTGGGGCCCCGGGACAGCCGTGTGCTTGGAGCACCGGCCTCCTGGCTTTCCTCCCTGCAACCCCCCGCCACATCGGGCCCAGCCAGGGTGTTCCGAATGCGGGGGGCGATCTGGGGGCCCCGCAGGCGTCTCACGTTGCCCCTTGACTTGCAGCGGCCTGGACAGCGCCTCCTGCTTCCAGGTTGTCTCTCTGATGAAAGGTCTGGCTCAAGGGGGGAGGTCCGTCATCTGCACCATCCACCAGCCCAGCGCCAAGCTCTTCGAGCTGTTCGACCAGGTACGTCGGCTCTGCTGTGATCAGCCCAAGTGGCACCAAATCCTGGGTCCTCCCAGCTTCCCCTTAGTTCCCTGGGGGTGCCTTCAGTTTTTAGTGGCCTTAAGTGTTACGTTTCATAAGGCTTTGGAGCCTTAAGTAGCTCAGGTGGCAGGATGGGGTGGGGGTGGGAAGAGCTGGTCAGTGTTCTCTGTCGGGCTGGCGTCCGGACGTCACTGACATCACTGAGGCTTCATTCCCCAGCCCCTGGTTACAGTGGGGAACACCTGACTTTCAGAATTCAACAGCAGCTTGTGATATTTGTACGACACCGTCTCTTTCAGAAATCTTAGGTGTTGGTATTATCATGAGCAAAAAGCAAAAAAAGTCCCAAGGGATGAAATGTGTGTAGTTCCAAAATCTTCCCTAAGCAGGTGGTTAACATGAAGGGAAAAAAAGCAACACAACACAATAATTTCAGGTCATACGGTAGCCTCTGTCTTCCCTGACTCACCGTGGGTTTCTCTTTGAACTATGAGTCCTTGCGGAGTAGCAGAAAGCTCTTCTGAGAGAGAAATTGATGGATAGATGGGTGGATGGGTGGATGGGTGGATGAATAGTTGGATGGGTAGTTGGGTGGGTGGGTGGGTGCATGGTTTGAGAGTTCCTCTTGCCTTACAGAGGAAAGCAGAGTTGATGTTTTCTTTCACTTACTCTTTTCCAGCTTTATGTCCTTAGTCAAGGACAATGTGTGTACCGGGGAAAAGTCTCAAATCTTGTACCGTATCTGAGGGATTTAGGTCTGAACTGCCCAACCTACCACAACCCAGCTGATTTTGGTGAGTAGAGCCTTGACCAGCTGGAAGGGAAAAAAAGGGGTCTCTTCCATTCTTGGTGGGCTTCTGCTATTACCTGACGCCCCCAAATCAAGAACTGAATATTCTTAAATATTCTGCAGATGGCTCACACGCCACCATGTGGTGGAACTCTTAAGAACAGATAAAGAGAGGTCTTCCCCGCAGGTGAAAATATCTGGGGACGACAAGGGATCTGTTGTTGGGAGAAATATTTCCTCATGCTTGACTGTGTTATGCTTCTGGTTTGAAGGAAGTTATTTCCAAAAAGAAATAACCTTAATAAAAACAAACCTTTTGCACTGATGAACAGAGATGTTAAGTGGGGAGGGTATAGCTCAAGTGGTAGAGCGCACGCTTAGCACGCCTGAGGTCCTGGGTTCAGTCCCCAGTACCTCTTCTAAAATAAATAAATAAATAAACAAATAAATAAATAAATAGAATTACCTCCCTCCTCCGCCAAAAAAAATAAAATAAAATAAAACAAGTAAATTTTTAAAAAGAATACATTAAAAAAAAACCTAACAGAGATGTTAAAATGCTGATTTGTATTTTGACCAAACACAACAAAATACGTGTCCCCGGGAGCCCAGAGACCAGGCTGACGGTCCGAGCTACCCCTCCCGACACGGAGGTCCCGAGGCTGGCGGCCGAAGCCCCGTCGCCTGCTTGGGCTGGTGGTTGGTGGGCTCCGCCCTGGTGCTCCCGTGGCTCCTCCTCTGGCCTCTCCTCTCGGCCCAGACCCTCCAGGGCGCTGACGCCTCGTCGCTCCCACCACGAGGGCTGCGCATCACGTGGCTGACACGTCCACCCGCAAACGGCGCAGCCTCTTCAAGTCCTGCGCCTCCAAAACCAACTCCCTCTCCCTCCCGTCAGTTATGCCCTTTTCCAGCCTGCACCCCAAGCAGGGGACCTCGCTCCCCCCGCCTTCTCTTTCTCTTCCTACTTCCTAGACCACCGAGCGCTCGCACACCCGGCCCAGTCCGCTCTCCCCCTCGGCCGCTGTGTCCGGGCCCGACCTGCCACGGCGTCCTCCGTTCCTGGGGCTGCTCGAACGAGGCGCCACAAGCGGGGTGGCCGAAAACAGCAGAAACCCGCTGTCTCATGGTTCTAGAGGCCAGAAGCCAGCGTGTCCTCGGGGCCAGGCTCCCTCTGAAGGCTCTGCGGGGGTGGGGGGTCCTTCACGCCTCTTCCAGCTTCTGGTGGCTCCCGCCTTCCTCAGCTTGTGGCCACACACCCCCAGTCTCTGTCTCTGTCTTCGCATGGCTTTTTCCTCTGTGTGTGTCCTCTCCTCTTCTTATAAGGGCAGCAGTCAGTGGATTCAGGGCCCAATCCTAAATCCAGGATGACTTCATCTCACAATCCACAACCAGTTACATCTGCAAAGAACCTTCTCCAAATGAGGCCACACTGTGAGGTTCCAGGTGGACATGAATTTCAGGGGACCCTGTTCAACTCGCTAGAACCACCCCCTCGGTCTCCTGGTTGTCAGCCTTTCTCCCTGAGCTGTTTTGCTCTCAAGCGTCTGGCCACACTGCTCCCTGGTCCCCGTGTTTCCTGTACATCATCTTCCAAATCGTGCTCCCCGAGACACTGTTGCTTTTTACAAGAAGAGGGCTCCGATGAAGCAGAGCCAGAGTGCGGGGAGCTGGAAGGAGGCGAGGCCGAGGGGAGGGAGGCTCAGGCAGCCGAGTGGGTCAGGGGGATGGTTGCATATTGGTTCAGAGAGAGGATGGGAGGAGGGTCGGGGACAGGTGCTGCTGAGCGGGGAAGTGCGATAAGATCCACAAGCTGCAGAGAGGCAGGGACCTGGAGGGAAGGACAGACGAGGAGAAGGAACAGGACGCGGGACTGTGGGGAGGTCCCAGGAAGGTGGTGGGTGCCTTTCTGGCCGCTGCTGTGTCCTTCGTGTCACACCTGAGAAAGAGGTGGCGGTGAGGAGAGGGTGGCCGTCTGGAGGGTGGTGGGTGTGAGTGGCAGTGGGGCGGGCAGTGCTGGCTCATTTGGCATAGCCGATGCTGACATCCTGGGGGGACCATCCTCTCCTGGTTTACGACCAGACCGAGGAGGGCTTGGCCACCCCGGCTCAGGCTCAGGGAAACAGATAGCTGGCTTTGCCGGAGGAGCTTTGGGCATTAGCAGCAAGCTTATTGAGGTGAGAGGCTGGACCCACCAGGAGGGACGTGGGGAGGGAGAGGGCGGTGGGAGGACAGGGAGGAGCAGCAGTCGCCAGGCGAGTGTGGGCCCAGGAGAGAAAGAGCAGCGTGGGACCTTGGACAGTTTGGGGTGCAGCGGGGTGTAACACCGGAGCCGAGGAGGGATGGGCTGGCAAGGAGGGTCAGTGGAGGAGACGCTCCCTGGGGGTCTGGGGCGGGGTGGGGGCTGACGGTCCCAAGACCCTGATGTCCCCTGGGCGCCGAGCGCACGTGCCTGTGGGCCCCGGCACTTCTCCTTGGTCCTGAAGAGCTCACCCCCCCTACCCCAGGAGCTGAGAGAGCTTCCCAGCGGGAATCCTGCTCTCTTCTGCTCCTCTCCCAGCTCGGACGCTTGCCGCGGCCGGCACTCGATAGATACTGGATGGATGGATGCGTTAACAGATGCACGAGCTAATTACCTGTCAGGCTCTCCGACGTCACAGTCCGCATCTGCATTTCTAGGGCCCTGGCGTCCTACGTGGCCTTGCTGGGCCCTGCAGAGCTGGGAGAACATGGTCGCTACATGATGTTATATTAGCACCCTCACTCAGCAGCTATAGAGTCGGTGAAAAATATTCCCCGCTAGATCCTGACTTTGTTGCAAAATGAAAGAGGCTGACAGTTCCGAGGAGCGATGCCTGGCGTGACCCCTCTGTGTCTCGTGCAGTCATGGAAGTCGCGTCCGGAGAATACGGCGATCAGAATGGCCGCCTGGTGAGAGCCGTCCGGGAGGGCATGTGCGACTCTGACTACAGGAGAGAGCCCGGCGGGGATGCCGAGGTGAACCCTTTTCTTTGGCACCGGCCCTCTGAAGAGGTAAAGCAGGCAAAACGAGTGAAGGGGTTGAGAAAGGTAATTTCGGGGGGCGCTGCATGCTGCCCGGTGCACCTGCTGCATGAGAACTGCTCTTTAAGCCAAGAGGAGAGGCGCCTGGGGCTGGGGTCTCAGACGCCTCCCCCCGGTGTGTCCTCAGGACTCCGCTTCCACGGAAGGCTGTCACAGCTTCTCGGCCAGCTGCCTCACCCAGTTCTGCATCCTCTTCAAAAGGACCTTCCTCAGTATCATGAGGGACTCGGTAAGGTGGTTTGTGGTTCTCTCTGCGGCAGAAGGAGCTGTCAGGTCATTTTCGGGTTTATGCATTGTGACCAAACTTTCAAGTTGTTCTTTCTCCATTTGCATGAGTCAGCTTTCTGTGAAGCTGCAGTAACAAACACTCCCCCAGATGCCAGTGGCTGCGACAGTAAATATTTATGTCTTGCTTGTGTTGTGTGTTGGTGGCTTCGGGCAGTGGCCCTGCTGCATGTGTGTCCTCATCCTGGGACCCAGAGCGGAGGACCAGGTCCTTGCTGGAACGTGACAGAGGGAAAGTTCGAGAGAAGCCCAATGGCAGCCCTTAAAACTCCCTGCTCCTTGGGGAAGCTGTCCCTTGTGCTCACATCCCATCGGCCAAGGCTGACGTCAGGAAGTGCCTTCCTCTCTCCAGAAAGCTCCACAAGGCACAGGGCAGTGGCAGGGTGTGGACACCTGTCTGGGGAAGGAGTTGCTGAACGGTGGAAACCATGACAATATCCACTCTAAAAGCAGACCATCCGGCAACCTGCGTAGGGGGACTGAGAGCTCAGGGGCCTCTGGGACCCAGTCTGCAAGACGCAGGGGCTGGGAGACACCTGGGCAGAGCCCTTCAAGGTGGGCTCTATGCATCCATTCTTTGTCCCCTTCCCCACTGCCACTGTCACTTGTCCTCTCCTCTGAAGGTACTCTGCCCTTGTTTGCCACTTTTGAAGGGATTTAACAAAGGACAGCAATTTCTCCTGCTGTAACAGCAGCAAAATGTGGCCGTGTGTGTGAGTGTTTGTTGTGCGCACGTGCATGTTGGTTTAGGTCGGATGCTTGGTTTCCTGGCCAGAAGGGGCAGAATCTGCCTTGGCCAATGACTCTGGGGACCTTGGCCTCCTTGTTCTTTCTCTCCCCACCTCTAATGTTCCTGTGTACTGGCCGCGTCTGCCCCCAGGTCCTGACGCACCTGCGGATCACGTCTCACATTGGCATCGGCCTCCTCATCGGCCTGCTCTACCTGGGGATCGGAAACGAAGCCAAGAAGGTCCTGAGCAACTCCGGTTTCCTCTTCTTCTCCATGCTCTTCCTCATGTTCGCTGCCCTCATGCCCACTGTCCTCACGTGTGAGTGCCCAGAGGACCCCACAGCCATCTCTCCTTCATTATCTGCTACAGAGGTCATGCCTGCTTGGCCACAAACAGAGAATCTTTTTTTTTTTTTAAGATACCATTTTCTTTGTTGGCAGATGTAGGTATCGTTGTATTTTCTGTTAGACAAGAAAATGTTTAAGCCAAAGGAATGAATCACTAATGGGAGATTTGCAAGCCTGGCAGAAGGCTGATGTGACAGAGAGTTCTATAAGGTTTTCTAATCAGGAACCCCTCAAGCTCTACTGCATGAGCATTACCTCATTCAGTTAAGACAGCCCCAGTGTGGCCAAGTTTGTGAGCGAATAAAGCTAATCTAAATGGATTTCCATGCGATTCTAAACTGTTTGCAAAGTAGGCTGCCCTTAGCCACTTTGGGCTGACAGTGTAGAAAGCTATTGCTTCTCCAGAAATCTAGCATAACCTTCTCCACCTTTTTATATATACTTTTTGCATTATGTTTTTAATGTAAGAAGTTCAGGTTTTATACAATGCCTATCTTGGCAGAATGGAATTAAATAGCTCTCTGGGATTTGCATAATGATCCCACAAACCCCTGCCACGCCACCTCCTAAACTGCCCGGAATTTCTAAGACCGGCTCGTGAGGTCTTGCCTGTGGAAGACATTGTTACGGTTACTCAGGGGAAGGAAGGTCGGCAGCAGATGCTCGTACCAACTACTGAAATGATGCTTTGTATCCACGTATCCACGCAGCTGCCCTCCACCCGGATTCTCCACTCTTTGAGTGCTCAGTGGTAAAGGCGGTGGGCAGTTTTTCTTGGCGAGTAAATCATCTCACGCCTTCCCAGTAAAACCCCAGGTCCTTTAAGTCCTGAAAGGTGCACACAGAGCAGAGGCCAGGTTAGGGCTACGGAGAGCTCGGCGTGCGCTCTCGGCAGGCTGTGATGTCTGTCTTCATTTCCCTGCGTCCTAGTTCCCCTGGAGATGGGAGTATTTCTTCGAGAACACCTGAATTACTGGTACAGCCTGAAGGCCTACTACCTGGCCAAGACCATGGCCGACGTCCCCTTCCAGGTAGGCCGGGGGAAGCGGCGTGCTTTGAAGGGAGCGTGGCTTCTCCCGCGCACCCTGGAGAGGGGTGGGGCGCCGGCCGCCGGGAGAGGGTGACGGCCGCTGTGCTTCCAGATCATGTTCCCCGTGGCCTACTGCAGCATTGTGTACTGGATGACGTCCCAGCCATCCGACGCTGTGCGGTTCGTCCTGTTCGCCGCGCTGGGCACCATGACCTCGCTGGTGGCGCAGTCCCTGGGCCTGCTGATTGGAGCTGCGTCCACGTCCCTGCAGGTACCCGCCGAGGAGACGCCGCGTGGTGGGCCTGCCTTCTCCACCTTGGCCCACGTGGCCGGGGCTGCAGCCCTGGTGGGGCTCAGCACCAGCCCCTCCCTGAGACCCCTCCTCCTGATTCTGCCCTGACTCCCTCAACTGGGGAGATGGAGGCCCAGAGAGGCAATGTGATTTTGTCAGAGTCACACAGCGGGCTTGGAGGCCAAGCTCTCAGTGTCTCCGTGGTATTCACTCAGCCATCCCTCAGATGCCACCCCCCCACCATTGTGCTCCACACTCCTACTCAACTGAGCCCCACCACATGCCCTTCTGGACCCCGCCCTCAAGCTGCCAAACCTGCTGCATTTGCAGTTTCTGAACCCTGAGGGCTTCAGGGCACTCAGCTTAGTCCTACCTTACAAACCAAAGCCAGAGCTCTGGTGAATCCACACACCCGAGGCCTTCCGACGCCCCCGTGGCTTGTGGCAGACTCCTGTTTCCGTGTCCAGAGCCTCCAGGGCGGTGCCTTCATCCATCCCAAGCCGACAGCCGTAGAACGTGCTCGGCCCCCAGGCATGGTTAGCGCCCAGGGAGTGGCGCTCCTCACCCTTCCTCCCTCAGATCCAGCGACACCCCCGTGGTCAGCACCTCGGACATTGTGCCTCGAGCCTCACTGGGCTCCCTCACCACCTCTCCCAGCATCACTCCGCCCCTGCTCTGCGGGGCCTCCATCCTTTTTACTGTCCATCCCTTCTGCTGGGTCCGGCTGGGCCCCTGGGCACAGACCCCAGCCCCTCCCTGGGCAGGAGACCAGCCTGCTCTCCCCCAGAAGGGGCTGCTTCTCCGCACCACCTTGGCCCTGATGTGACCCGTCCTGAAAGCTCTGGCGCTTTCCCAGCTGCAGGCGACGGTCCCAAACTGTGGGCTGCGGCCCCTGGGTCACCTGAGGAAGAGGCAGGTGGGAGTAAGTCCCCTTGGTGTCCCCACCCAGGTGGCGACCTTCGTGGGCCCCGTCACGGCCATCCCCGTCCTCCTCTTCTCGGGGTTCTTCGTCAGCTTCGACACGATCCCCACCTACCTGCAGTGGCTGTCCTACATCTCCTACGTCAGGTAGCGTGCGGGCCCCTGCTGATCGGGGACCGACCACAGCAGGGGGGGACATGGTCACGTGCAGCGGCTCGCAGCGCCCCTTCCTGGCCGTCAGCTCGGTGCCAGCATGATTCTTGGACCATGAATCCAAGAGTGTCGGTGCCTTTGATTTTAACCCTGGTTTTGTGTGCCCCACCTCCCACACACACGGGCGCACACACTCACGGAGAAAGTCGGTACTAGTGACCCTGAGGCCGTGGGGCCTCCATGTTCCAGAGAGGTGCCTTGGGTGGGAGAACTTCCATCTTTTAGGAATTTTACCCCTCTCTGGAATAAACAGAGCTTCTAACAAGGTTCTGAATATTCGTAAAACCTTTGTAGGAAATCCAGTGGAAAACGAGTCATGTTTCAAGCGTCCTAATATTTTCCAACAAGCCTGCCCTGGTGCCCGGCACCTCGGGGGTCAGATTTCATCCTCTGTGCTCAGAGGTGCTTTGGCACGTCGGCCCCTGACAGGCAGTGCTCAAGTTAGAGCTTTCTCCCCAGCCCCAGCCATTTCACGTGCCACACAGGATCCCAAGCTGTGAACAAACTTGTCTTTTCCAGAGTGTCAGCTCAGACTCAGGTGTATTGTTCCAGAAAACAAAATCACATCAGGGCACTTGTTCAGTTTCAGCAATCTGTGCGCCTTCCAATACCAAGAAATCGGAAACCCAGGCCTTCCTTCTCAGAGTTGGCACTTTTGTTCTGTTAATGCAGGGCTGGAACAAGACGATAGATGGTGTGAAAATGTTTTATTTAAATGCTCTGCAGTCCTTGGATGGCTATCAGATCCTCGAATATATCTGTTAAAAACAAAAGTGTATGATGTCAGAAGCAATCCAAGTGTTTTGCATTCGTATCCGCACTGAACAAATACCTACTCTCTTTGTCCAGTTTGGTTTTGGGGTTTTGTTTGTTTGTTTGTTTGGTGGAGATTCTGGAGGAAACAGAATTGGAAAACGTCGAGCTGTTGAATGTGTTTGTCTTAGGAAGGCGTGGAGCGGTCAGGAAGGATCCCGGTGAAGAGAGACCTCCGGGGAGGGAGGGGAGCCGGGCTGAGGGTCACAGGGGGCACACACGGGCAGAGGCGGGGTCGGGGGTCCTGAGCCCACCTCACGCTCGGCACTTCCCTCCTCAGGTATGGATTTGAAGGGGTCATCCTGTCCATCTACGGCCTCGACCGAGAAGACCTGCACTGCGACATCGACGAGACCTGTCACTTCCAGAAGTCGGAGGCCATCCTGCGGGAGCTGGACGTGGAGAACGCCAAGCTCTACCTGGACTTCATCGTCCTCGGGGTCTTCTTCATCTCCCTGCGCCTCATTGCCTACCTTGTGCTGAGGTACAAAATCCGGGCGGAGAGGTAAAGCGCCGGGCGCCCGGCCAGAGGAAAACCGGACGCCGAGGCCAAGGGCCGCGCCCAGGACCCGGGTGGCAAGCCCGGCCCGAGGACACAGACACCCTGGGCCCCCCCCCCTGGGGACCACGTTTGGTCGTCAGGCATCCAGGGTCGATGCCGCCCCAGCCGGGTTGGGTCTCTTCCCCACCACTTTCTAGCTGTAACTAGGAAGGTGTAGAAAGGTTGTTTTTCCACGTACAAAATTTTAAATACCACAACTGGGGCAGAGCTGAAAACTGCGCCAAAGCTGGCGACGAGACCCCTCCTGCGGACGGGGACTCTCTGGCCCTGGGGGGTGTCCGAGCAGCGTCCCGGCGGCCCCAGGGCAGCGGGCCCCGGCGCAGCAGCGGGCCGGCCGGCCCGTCCTGGGACTGTTGTCATAGCTTCATCTTTTTACGGTTTGTCTCTTTTTCCAAAGAGAAGTCATTTTTCAAGCCAAAAGTTGATAACTTTCATTCCTTTTCAGAAACTGTGCCATTTTAGTACTTGTGGAAGAAAATTATGCAGGGTAAATAATATGCTTTGTTGGGAGCTGCGAGGGGTTTGACGCGACCGCTGGCCTGGCCTCATTCACAGGCAGAGCTCGTGGAAGACGCAGAGGTAGGCTCCAGGCTGGAGGAGGACTGGAACGGTGTGTTCTAAGCTGTGCAGAAAATTTTGAAAGTGACACCAAAAGTTGTGAAGTGAAATTGGCCAACTCTTTCAAAGTCGTTTATTTTGCCCATGCTTCTTATTTTGAGCAAAAATATATCGTTTCTTTCTTCCTGATTTTCCAAGCACCTTAGTTTTGCCTAAAAAAAAAAAATCTAGAAGATCGACCCTGTCGACGTCTTACAGACATTTCCTCCCCCTCATCAGCTACCTCCACTGAGCCTGGGGAAGCCTGGGACGGTGTGACTGTCGCAGGGTCTGCAGGTGCAGCCCAGGAAGGATGCGCTAACTTCCTAAGAGGGAAGGTGCTGAGATTTCATGAGAATCCAAGACCTTTGCAAGAAACCGGCGAAGACTTAGAGCGGCGGAGGCGTCTGCTGCTCCTTCGGTCGTTCGCTTAGAGCCGTGAGCGGTTCCACCCCCACGTCCGGCTTCCGTGCCGTCTCAGTGGCACCACCTTCTCAACGCTGGGCGAGTGTAGTCTTTCCAGACTGGAAACTCCTTTCCAGTCACGTGGTCACACAAGTAAAGTCCCTCTCGGGCAGGAGCAGCGGGCACCTCTGCAGGGTAAAAGGCCTTTGAATCCCTGGCGGGGCGCCCTGTGCTCCTCGGCTGTCAGAGGCAGTGTGACTGCAGGGCGGAAGGGACCTCGGCCAGAGAAGTTCCTCTGGAGGAAAAGGGAACTGCTTTCTCTTCTAGAATACCATTAAGCGGGAATAGGGGTCTCCTAATGAAAGACTGTATTTTTGTGGACAGATTCATTAACCTCCCTGAGCCTCAGCTTCCCCACCTGTAAACAGCAGCAGGAGACCGTCTTCAAGGCCGTGTTCAGCCCAGAAGGATTCTGAGTTTCCTCGGTGTGTCCAGAAGTTTTGTTTCCCATTTAAGAGAATGAGAAAGGTCCAGATTTTACACACACACAGACTTGACTGGCAAATGCTGAGAGAGCCCTCTCTCGCCCTCAGATCCCTTTTAGTAAGCACAGCTGAGGTATTTAAATGGAATTTTGTGTTTGCTTACTTTGCACCACTGTGGCGTTGCCATCCAGATTAAGTTACTTCACCAGGGTCAGACTTAGCCTTTATAAAAAGTCTTCATTCCATTTCAAGAAAGATTTGCCTGTAAGACATCGTGCACTGGGAAGCCTGGTGAAATATAAAGTGGGGAGGAGCTAAAAGCCCTCGGCCATGCCCCAGAATTACACCAGGCGAGGCCAGCACTGAAAGCCTCTGCCGCCAGGGGAGCCCTTCCGGCCGTGGGTCCGTGCGCCTAGAAGGACGTCCCGCGCAGACCGACCATCCCGCCCCTCCCCAGGCAGCCTCGCTTCTGCCGCTGAGCCCACGGCCACCTGTCTCGGCAGTTCCGGGAGGAAACAGTGAGATTCCTCTAGATTTAAAATCTGGTTTCCAAACGCACCTCCACCCGCGGGAGGAATCCTCTCCCTGGGAGTTCGCGCTCCCTGCATTTCAATCTCCAGGTTATATTCATCCCCTAACAGATGAGAAGCTGATTAAGGCCTCCCAAAGGGCAGATCCTGGGGGGCGTGAGGGCCTGCGGGCTGCCGGGAGGGAAACCCTGTACAGGCTAATGTGTTATTTTCCAAGGATGCCACCTGGAGAGCAGTGAGGACTGAAGCTTAGGACTGAAGGACGAGGCTTAGGAAGACCTAAGGCCTTGCTGAGCGAGGGTGCTGCCTGCATCGCTCCTCACTCTGCAGGCATCAGCAGTGCCCCTTGCCCCTCGCTCCTGCTTGCTTATCCCAAATCTTGGCAGCTTAGGGCCAAACACCACGGTTTGGATCTCCAGGCATCTGCCCTCTGCGTTTTGCCGTAGGACAGGTCGATAAAACACCTTACTCGGTGGCCGATGGGAGCACCCAAGGAACTCAGCGACGTTGTTTTCCTGCACAAGTCTGGTTAACGTCTCTTGTACACTGGAATTTAAACCAGGCCGACTTCCCACGTCTAATTCTTTGGAGTAACGTCTGAATGTAATGACTCAGACCTTGCCTTCACCTCTGATTTCGCTTCTTCATTTGGGAGGAAGGCGGGGAACTGGGAAGAAAGACCTATAGCCTTTCCAGTCGTAGTGGAGCTGGAAAAGGAAGTCCAAAGAGTGTCCTGTTGCGTGGGGCTTGTCGGGAGAGGGGGCCTCTGCAGGGCTCTAGCCGCTGGTCCGCGGAAGCATCGGGCCTGGGTCTGCAGACCAGCCCGACCTCGGGAGCCTGTCACCTCCTCCACGTTCACAGCGCTCCGCGCCTCCCTTTCACCCCCTCTTGCTGAGTATCAGCTCGAGAATTAAACGCTTCTAAAGCTGCCGTGTGGGCGACCTGGGAAGGGAAGGAGCCATGTAAACATTTCACATGGAAGATGCTAGAATCTGATTAGGTCACCCGGGGGAGGGACCTTCAGGACCAAGAAATGGGATGTAAGCTTTCAGGTGAAAACTCATCGTGGGCCCCGCAGAAGGTCATCTCCCACCTGAGCGCGGCGCCAGCCGGCAGCCAGGGGCAGGCTGAATCCGCAGGGTGGGACCCCCTCCGGTGGTTTCCCCGAGGGTAGAGCACCTTGAGCCCCAGTGCGCTGAGCATCCTTCCTCGCCGGTGGTCCAGGCACTGGCTGGATGCCTCACCATCTCCTCGGTTCAGTTACTTACTCAGCAAAAGAGTTCTGACCCCTCCCCGCATGCTCAGTGTCGCCCAGGCACGCGGGCTCAGGGAGGGCGCTCAGACGGCCGGTCCTCAGTGCGGGCATCGGAGGGCGTCCCACTCTGCAGATGGAGGGTGCCGCGGCTGGGAGAGGGTCCGTGAGGTCCTGGGTCCAGGGCCAGGAAAGAGCAGACTTGAGTCTGACCCCAGAGTCTCTACCTTTTGCTTTGCCGTATTGCCTCCTGTTCACAGTGTGCAGATGTATAAGAAAATGCAACGTATAAAGTGAAGTGCTAGGTTAGTTCTGGACTTGCTGTCACCAAACAGACAGCTGAGTTGGAAGGGTGGCCCGCAGCCCCTTCCTCCGTCGCCTTGCATCGGGGTGTCCCGAGCTGGCCCGGGGGCCGAGCTCACCCCGTCTCAGTGGAGATGTGCCTTCCCCGCCCTTACCTGGTCTAAGCTTCCTAGTGCAGCACACCTGCGGGCGAGCTGAGCCCCGAGAGGGGCTGGTGTGCGCACGTGTGTGTGCATGCATGCCTGTGAGTGTGCACATACACACACGTGTGCACACACACGAGGGCACGTGTCAGGTCGCTCTGGGTGTGCGTCTCGTCGTGTTTTCTGTGGTGTCTCTAAATCCTCAATCATCCTTTACTCCAGGAAAGAAAGAGAAAATTCCCTCACTTCATGCCTGCGGTGCAGATGGTAACGCGTAGTCAAAACCCACAGACTTGCAGCAAATACCAGCTAAACTGGGATGTCACAAAAAGTGAAACAAAACAACGCAGCGGAGGGGAGGGAGGTGCAGGGTCTGTGGCTCTAAATTAGATACTCTCCAGAAATGAAGACTGCTAATAAAACACTTTATATAAACTTTTTACTTGTGTTCAGTGTCAACTGCTTTGCAGTCAGTCTTCTGCTTGAACTTTACTGGACAGAGGGGATTTTCAGGTTGGATTCTGAATACGGTTGCTGTACGTCTAGCGAGCCTTCTGGGTTCTCCCTCGGCCTCACAGTCTAACTTCTGACTGTGAATAGTCACCTTTCTCTCCCGTAGCTTTCACGTGTTGTGCTGAACTGTCCTTAAGGTTTGTGGTTCCTCCGTTTCTCTCACCCCTTGCTTCCCCTTCGGGAACGTTGGCCAGGACTTTAAACAGAGCGGAGAGCCCAGATGCAGGCGGCCCACGTGTGGCCCCTGCGGTCTCTCCCCACTTCACAACACTCGGTGGCCTCAGGGCCAGCGCCGGGGGTTGGGTGTGGCCTTAGTGCTCGCCCATCCACCGAGCGGCCTTTCCAAAGGCAGCGTCCACCTGGTCTTCCCTCCCTCCTCGGGGACACAGAGCAGAGTGCAGGGCTGAGCAGAGTCCCAGGATGGGTGGCCCCTGCAGTCCTGCTAAGTGACAGGGAGAGGGGGATGTGGCCCGGGGTGGGGCAGGCTCCTGAGACTCCCTTCTCTCCTCCGCCCCCGCCGTCCTACAGACCCCGCCTGCCTTCGTGCAGCTTCCGCCAAGGTCACGGTCCTTCTGGTCACTGCACTTGGGCCTCCCACCCCAGGGAAAGTCCTTGGACACAATCATGCTCTGCGAAAACAGGTGTTTCTGATGTCCATGTTGGGGCTCCCGGGGCCCAGAAGCATGAAGAAACGGAGAGCCCCATGCCCCCGTCGCACAGTCTAATTGTCACACTTGCAAGCTCCGTAGGCACCTCCCGGGGAGGAAGACGGCCGAGGGTGATGCCCTCACGCTTGCCGTCTTCTGCAGGTGCCGCTCAGGTTTCTGGGGAGCTACTGGTATCCTTCCCTACTCCTCCCCTTCTTGGAGGAAATAAAGGTTTAGCATTAGCTTAATCTTTTGTGTTATCTCTGAACAGTCAACTTGGAGTCATTCATCAAACAGACATTTTGTGGGTGGCTCGAGGAGGCCCGGAGGAAGCCAGGTTCATACAAAAGACTCCCATGAGCAGAGCTCAGGCTTAGAGCCCCCAACACCTCCCTATTCTCAAAATAGGCCCCTGATGTCAAAAAGGATTAACTGTCCGCCACTGGCTACCATGTGCTGGCTAGGTAAGGGGTCACGCTGGTGGAGGCAGAGTTTGGGGGCTTTTCCATGATATAATGACCCTTGTAAAGCTGGAGAGAGAGGAACAGAAGCACAAAAGTGCCCTTGTTTTGTCCCAAACCACGTGGAGTTGGATCTAGGGCAGGGTCTGGGCCCTGCTTTGGGCAAAGGGGCGGCTGCGTGTACCCAGCTGGTACCCAGGGGGAGGGCCGGGACCGTGCAGTCTGCCGCCCTTTCCCGGGGAGACACCCTAAGCGAAGGACGTGGCCACAGACATGTACGAGCTTCTCCCTGAGGCTCGTGGTTTTATCCAGATCTTGGGAACAGCCTGAGCCCAGGCCACAGAGTTAAAACAGCAAAGCTCGGAACGGTCGCATTCAGCTGAAGTTTCCTCTCAGCGGCGTGGCATCATCTTCTGCTTGGCGTGTCTGAATAGACCTAAGGGAGAACCCTGCTGCTCCCCCGTGAGTGTCTTTGGCCTGTATTTTGCACATGAACTTGAACGTGCCCCTGATACTGTATACTGTTCAATGGTGTTTCTTTTCACTGATGTCTGAGATCTGATTTGGGGGGACATGTTAGCCACCTGCTGATACCGCTGCATGATGGGAGTCATCCCGTACCTGCAGCAGGGGCCAAGGTGAGCTGGGGCAGAGATGCTGGGTCCTGGCTGGTGGGTGTGGAGCCATGACGCGTGACCCTCCCTGCTGCCTGCTTGTGGGCCGGTTCTCAAGGCCCCCAAGGCACCGCCTTCAAGGAGAGTTCAGAAAGGCCTTGCTGCCAGCACTGGGCGTGGACCATTCTTCCATTTCACCTGCCGTGCTGGCCCGCCACCAGCCCCTTCTTCCCATCACAGCCCTGGACCAGTGCTGTAGAGCTTTCGAGAAAACAGTGTTTTCCAAATGGGGCTTTGCTGGAGCAGAGGAGGCATGGGCTCATCCATTTCTAGGGGGGAAGTCATCACAACTACACCCCTTCTCTGGGGGACCTGCATGTGGCCTCTCCTGGTGGGTGAGATGGATTAGACCTTGAAGGGAGAGGCTGGAAGTCGCCGGTACCTGGGTCAAGGTCGAGGACCTATGTCCATGGGTTTCTGGACATCCCAGGATGCAACCCAGTCTGAAAGGTTCCACGGTTGGTTTCTTTGGAAGTATTTCAGTGGCCATGGTGCATATTCTGTTTTTATGTCTTCACATTTTTTCACAATTCTGTCATCGTCTACCTTGTTTGGGGGGGGGTGCGTCTCTTTTCCATGAACTTCAGAACACAGGCTGCCCAAGCTTCACCAGAAATGTCTCGTTTGAAGTCCTCGGCCAGTTAAACATGGTCGCAAAAGGTCCTACCATCCAAATGGCCAACAAAGCGGACCACGCAGCCCACACGAGAGGGTTTCTGCTTCTGTAGGCACATGCTCCCTGGGGAAGGGGGTGGCCAGGGGTAAGTTTCTCCATGGAATGTGTACGTTTAAAACAATTAGCATACGTAGCTGACCCCTTATGCAGGTTTGCTTGTCACGTGCAGACACAGCAGCACATACCTGCTCACAGCTGAACCTGTTGAGAACTGCTGCCTTTTATTTGATGCGTAGCTCTTTGATGTCTTTCCCTTGTTATTCCTTCCAAAGCAAGAGTCAATGCAAATAACATTTTTAATCAGCCTGCAAAGATGTGCATATATCTGTATATCGAATATGTAATCCCTTTTTTTTATAATGCTGTGTGGATAGCCTTACATGGATTTAGCCGCGTGGCACTAGGAAATACTGCGCTCACACGCTGGGGGAGGAGTGTGCTGTTGTAGATAAGCATGGCGTCTAGACACACGCACGTTCACGTGTATTTTAAGTTAGCAGCGGCTCCTTTGGGCACTTGTCCCCTTGGGGGTTTCCCTGCGTTGGACACAGACCCGGGCAGACCCGAGGACGTGAGCCCCCAACTCTCCCCTGCAGACCGCGGCCCCGCTTTGTACATTTCTGTAGGTTACCGCCTTAGAAGATTTGTACGTGCATATTTTGCAGACTCGAACTTTGTTTTCTGAAATGAGATGTCATTTATGAAATGTGACATGAATCCAAATAAAGCATCGTTATTTTCAGATTTCTATCTCCTTCTCCTTTCAGTTTTCAACACCAGCTCTCAGACCTGCCCGGAGCGTTGGGTCTGGGGTCTGGCAGAGCCTGTGGGGTGATTTCCCTTCTTGTGCTGCCCTTGTTCTGAATGGAGTGATTCCTCCGGTAGGAGTTCCAGTGGATTTGGATGAAGTAGGGAAGAGACATCAGAGTGAGGTGGTGACGTGCCAGCCCCACCTGCGCAGTGACGTGGTGGCCCAGGCTCAGGTGCTCTCACACCCCTTCTCATTTAACTGCCATCTTGGGGGCCGGGGAGCCACCGCCAGCCCCATGTCACAGGCCGGGGAACTGTGAGGCTCAGGGAGATTGGACTAGTGGCCCAAGGCAGGTGGTGGGGACAGAATTCATACTGCACCAGTCTAGCTGCCTCTGGTTTTCTTTGGCAGGATACAAAGCAGGTATCCAGCCATTGCTACATACTGGCCTGAGGGCCTCGGAGCCTCCTGCCCCGCCGTTCAAGCATCTCGCTCTTCCCTCACCCACACCCCAAACCCCAGAGGCTGGGAACTGAGAAGGAGCCCCTCCACTCTGCGAGCTCGGAGCTGCTGGGGTCAGGGATTGTCTGCAGGCCTTGAAACCAGATTTCCCTCTACTGCTGTGTGACTTTGGGCTCCTAGTCTAACCTCTCTGTGCCTCTGCCTGCTTGCTCACTTGTAAAAGTGGAGGTAATAACTGTGCTGTGGGGAGTCAATGAAGTAAAATGTCTAAACCCCACAGTGCTGCAGCGATGGGCACTGTGCAGGGGGAGCCGCTCATTGAGTAATTTTGTGGGGAGACAGGGCACCAGGTGCTTCCCTGAGACCCCCACTTCTCTTGCACCCCCACCCACCGGGCTAGAGGACATCTCTGGAGGTAGGAAGTGGTGGTCAGTGGGCCTTCCTGGAGTTAGACTTAACCACAAGGAAAAGGAGATTAGAAAAAACTCAAAATTTTCTGCAAAGAGGGAGTGCTCCCTTCATCGGTGGAAATCGGGTGTCAGTTTTGCTCCGGGCTGCGTGCTGTCCAAAGGCGAGGGTGGCTGGGTGATGGGGAATCTTGATAAATCCCATCTGGAAGGTGGGTGGCGGGAGGCCAGGCCGCTACTGAGACTGCAGGAAGCCGCAGTCACTCAAGCCAGCCAGCAGAGGGGGCTGTGGTCACTGCGGGTTGGACCAGGTCCCAAGGGACTGGGAAGTGGGCTTGGGTGGGTCCCACTCCATCCCGGCCAGAGCGGCCTGGCCCGACGCTGGTGCCCTGCGAAAGCACTTATGAGCCCACGACGGGGCTACGGTGAGGCACGAGACTGAAGGGGGTGCCCTAAGCTCAGTAATGATGTCTTAATGTTTTTTAAGTGGTCTGGCAGGGTCCCCACGTGTCTGTGGTCTTGGCTCAGCGGACAAGTGAACGACCAGTTTTGTTTCTGTCACTTTTAACGCAGGCCAGAGAGTGACAGCGTCTGCATCTCAGGCTTGGAGACCTTGACCTCCTGATGCCGCAGCCACTCACAACCTCCTCACTGCCGCTGTCAGGTGTCTGCCTGCACAGGTTGCCGCGCCCGGCTTCTCGGTCCTGCCAGGCCCCACCCCAGAGACCCTGATTGAGTCTCCAGAGCCCGAGAGTCTTGAAGACGCCTCGGGTGACTCTAACACCCCAGGGCTTTGCTTGGTGCACGTGTGAAGCACTGGCTTTGGGGAGGGGGTAGTGTTCACGTTGACCGGGACCCCAGGGCACACGGGGCCTGATTGCATGGTGGTCCCCTCTGCCCTGCTCAGGAACAACAGAGGGATGTCTGGTGAGAGACATCGGGTCCCAGGACGGGACGACTAAGTCCCCACTCCCCGCCGCCCTGCCTGTGGGCATCTCTCCTGAGCGGGGGTGGGGGGGCACTGCAGGAAGAAGACGGCTCCTGTGCGGGAAATGAAGGTCACTGCAGAGTCTGAGTCTGGCCTGGGGGTCTTCCCACGTCCCCAGGGAAGCACGCTGTCAAGACGGGCCCCTGAGCAGCCCTCTGGGGGGCTGGGGTGGGGAGCGAGGACTGCCCCCCAGTGGAGTCGGTGGCCTTGATGGAGAAGCAGTGGCTCAGATCTGACCACCGAGTGACAGGTGCGTGGTGGCAGCCGCGTCTGTGAGGGGAGCCGGTGCTCACCTGGACCCCCGCTCCATCAGAAGGGCAGGGGCGGGAGCCTGGATCTTGGTGTCTCCGTGGTGGGGGTTGTCCCCTGTCGCTGGTCCAGGCCTTGGCTCCGTCTTCACCCCCCAGACCTGGCGGCGAGTGCCCAGTCCTCCCCAGGGCTGGGGATGAGCTGAGATCTGCAGGGGATTTGGGGCTGGGGAGTGCCATGGGGAGTCAGTCTGTGGACAACTTGGGAGATATGGACTCAGGCCCATCGGGGAGGAAGGACAGGATGGAGTCCCTCTCACATGGTGGAGGGCATGAGAGCGCTTGGGGATGGGCGGGAAGGGGGACTCGCATGGGGGGACCGCAGTGTAACAGTCATCCCCTGGCGGGCTCCAGATTCAGACATCCCAGCATGGTGCCCTGGGCGGGGGCTGTGGGATGTGTTCCTTATCCTATGTGCAAGCCCAAACACAGAGCCTTTCATTTCAAAAAGGAGGCTTTTCCAGTGGGAAGGAGGACTCAGTCCCAGAAACCCCACCTCCAGGGGCCGCACCGCTTTCTGCCACTCCGTGCAGCGCAAACAAGTCATGGGTTGAATCTGTAGGATCCTCTGCACAGCCTTGAGGGAGGGAGAGCAGGACCCGCAGCCTGGGCGGATGTGAGCGACCAGAGCTCTCCACCAGGGAAGCCCTCCGTGCAGAGCTACGTGTCCCCGAGAGCAGGGGGGACAAGTCTCCATCTAGGGGCTGCTAAGCCTTCCTGGGGACTCGTGGGGACAGTTTATTTCGTTTATTTGCAGAGTTGCATCCATTTTCACAGGGGAAATGCAAAAGAAGGCCATGCAAGGGTCACAGATGTTAAACTTGACTTGCAAAAAAATACAAAAAAGTGCCAGTTTGTAAGATGGTTTTATTGGCTTTCTCCTCTCCAAGAAAGACATTAATCATCTTTTTGGCCAGGGGGACCTTACATCTGAAATGTTTCTCAACAGACACAGGGAAGTGATGTTTAGAAGGTCGCTCGCCCTCCAGGCTGTCAGCACTAGGTCTGAGGTTGGCAGCTGCTTTGGGGTCTCTGCCTGCTCCCCAGGCCTGGGGCAGACCCTCCTCTCAGAGATGCCAAGACACCTTCCACTGCCCCATCTGTGAAATGCTGAGAAGGGAGTGAGAGTGAGTTGGCAGAAATAACACAATAGCATAAAGCCTCAGGAATGAAGCACGGTCCTCGTGCTGAGTACAGAATCTTTATTCTTTAAGACATCAGGTCTCAGCTCTCAGCGAGAGCGCTCGCTGGGAGCAGGCGGTGGAAAGGCAGAGGTGAGCAGCCCCGGGCAGAGTTCCGGGCAGGCTGTCCGGGGCCGCGGGCATCACTTCAGAAGGTGCATTCTGGAAACAAAGCACACACATGTGTTACCCTGGGCACTGTCATCTCTGCCCACCAGCTGCCCAGCTTCTCCAGGTCCAGACAGGCTCCCAGGTCAGCGCCCCGTGCTGCCTTCTCCGCCAAGTCCCTGGGGAAGTGCTGAGTTCCCCACCTGGTGGGGGAGGAGCCAGACGCCCCACAGGGACCCGGGTGGTCAGGGCAGGCGAGACGCGAGGTGGGCCTGGGCAGGGCCACTGCCAGTGCTCAAAGAAGTGTCCCCCCAAGGCTGAGGGGCTGGCAGAATGGGGACGACCAGCACAGGGGCGGTAGGTGCCTCTCCCTCCTGGCCCCCAAGCCCTCTCTGGACCTCTGCCAGGGTTTGCTGGGGAGAGGAGGAGGCCCTGGGCAGTGGGCGGGGTCCCCAGCACTGATCAGGGAGCCGGGATCGGCTGGCATGCAGCCGCCTTCGTAATTAGCTGGGGACAAAGGGGCAGGAGTGGCCCCGCACTGGGGGGGCTGCTTCCAGGAAGGGGCTTCCGTAGCTCTGTGCGCCTTAGGTGGTGAATGGGCACCCAGGCTGCCAGACAGCTGCGGCAGACCTCCATGCCCCACATGTGGGGGTCGGGGTTGTGGGGCAGAAGGGCAGCAGGATGGAGTCAGGACAGCCGACCAGCACGTGCATAGCCAGCAGCCCCGACACGGAGCTCCCCGGGCGGCTGTCCTGCACCAGTGAGGGAGGGGGTGCACCTTGAGGTGGGGGCAGAGTAGGAGGAGATGGCAGGGGTGTAGGGGGTGGGCACCAGGGCTCCACGTCCAGACCCTGAGCACGTCACAAATGATGGAGACTCCGTGGGGGCGTCGTTTGCCAAAAGTGGCTGGAAAGTCGGCCCCGCTCTCCAAACGTGCGTCTTGTCCGTTTCGCCCCAGTGGCGTTTTTACACTAATTCCCTCTACACAGTGCCTTGACTTTGAACGCCTTTCTGAAGTGGTCACTTTTACAGTCTGCACAACACCCTCAGCCCACAGACTGCCCTGGTGCCCGGAGTCCCACCCAGGGCCCAGATGCGTGGGGCTCCCCAGGGGCCTGCCGAGGGCCCGGCGCCCTGGGGCCGGCTCACCTGCTTCCTGCAGGGGCTTGAAGCACCAGGGCACCCCGTGGATGCTGTTGTCAAAGCAGCAGCCCCGGTTGTTGCACTGCTCCGGGGTGACCTTGGGGAAGGCGCAGTCCACCCTCTCCTTGGGCGGGACCTTGCACTGGTTCTCCGCTGCACCGAACAGAGCCCGGTTAGAGTCCCGGCAGCTTGCGGTTGGTCTGTTGGCCCCATTCTGAAAGTCTGCACCTTCCCTCCAGCTCCGAGCTCAAAGGATGCGATCCCACCCGGGCCCTGACATCTGCTTGCCGAGGACCCTCTTTCCGAGTAAATATTTAAGGAGAAATGTTCTATACAGAGGCGCGGGCGGCTGCCGGGGGCTCTCACTCGGCGTGCTCCCAGCCCCTCGCCAGCA